AAAGTTTTTCTTAATTACCCATTTAAGCCGTCTCCAGCCATTATTAGTCTCAAAGTGGGTTCCTCGTCATCGAATAAACCCTTCATGTTTCTTGTGTCTCTTGATTGCCTAAGCGGTCATTTTCTACTTATTTTCTGTTATCAGCTGTTTGGCTTTGAGTATGGCTCTAGAGACTTTTACATTCACTGTAAGTCAGATTTAAAGAAAAGTCTATTTTCACACTTGGTTGCTGAGTTTGTTAATCCTCTAATCTGATCTTAGTAAATTACTGACTTAATTGTCACGTAATATTATAGAAATGTTGAAAGGTAATTTCGGCTATGTCGGATTAGATAAACAATACAGGAAGAAAGATATCCTGGAAGGTAACCAGAACTTGCAGGTTGTAATTATAATGTAATAAAAAAATCTGAAATTCACCTTATACTTGACATCTTTGAGTACTTTAGTTATAATACAGAAAGCCGGCCTAAAAAGGAAGAGATCTGTGTTGTTGATTCAGAATTCAGCTATACAATATATTTTTATAACATGTTGTTTGATCATTCATCATTTGATTTGTTTCAATAAAATGTTTTTAGTGATAAACGTTTCGTTCTCTTTATTTATTTTTGTAAGATATTCTTCATTATATTTCTGTTAAACTAACCATTTAAATATTTTCTAATTTTTGCTTAATAAATTACCTGCTAGTTTCATGTTTTCACTTTAGAATACCATATATATATATATGGTTTAACGACTGGTACAGGTTTAGTAAATTATTATTTATATATATGGTTTAACGACTGGTACAAGTTGAGTAAGTTACTATTTATATGTATGGTTTCATGACTGGTACAAGTTTAGTAAGTTACTATTTATATGTATGGTTTAACGACTGGTACAAGTTTAGTAAGTTACTATTTATGCGTATGATTTAACGACTGGTATAAATTGAATAAGTTACTATTTATACGTATGGTTTAACGACTGGTACAAGTACAAGACTGGTACTGGTGTCCGCGATCAGGACTTGATATAGTGAAGTTTATTTCTGACGTTCTTTATTGTTTCTTATTTTTATGTCTGAAACATTGGTTCACCTGTACCTGCTCAAGAATTATATAACCTTAAGATTTCAACTTTGTTGGAATCTTTATCTAAGATAAAGAACTTATGTTTGAGAGAGGAAGAGATGGATACTGAAGTGAAGTCGAGGTAATGGGCATAAAATGTTTTACATTACTCCATCACGCTCTGCAAGGGGGAGATGATCTTTTCCTCAAAACAAAGAGTTAAAACAGACTTGGGTTTCTTGAGTTGCTGTCTAGTTTGGCTCATCTGGTGTGATTACTATGTGTCTAAGGATAGCCATCATAACACTGAAATTGGCTTTTCTGAGATCTCATGGCAAAATTTATGCAAAAACAGTAGATCATCATCCAGCATCTCTGAACTCCTTTGCTGGATGGAAATGCTAGTGACAATGAGAGGGAAATTGTGACTGAAGGATGAAATCTCCCTGCTAGTGCCAGCTCACTATCAAAAGAACAGCAGGCAAAGTGACTTCACTGACAAGTCAATGGCCCTCCCTGAAGTAGAAGCACGCTTATGAGGCAAGAGGCTATCTGATGGCTCAAGACTTAGCAGAGTTGCCTGATAATGTGTTTGCCACAGCAACATATTGCTCCATCTGTTAAGATCATGAAAACCACACTCTATCAAATGATAGAGCCTTGGAGTACTGAGAATATCCAGTGCTTCTAATGACATCTATATCCCAGCTGCTAGAGGAACGAACCACACTTTCTTTTTTTATAGCTGCAGCAGAAATACTTTAACCATACTAATATAAAAGGGTGTGTTCGGCAAATGTTAATTAACACACCAATGCTTCTGCAGCCCCACGAATTAATGGGCTTCAGCTACAAAGGTAGCTAGAATGAAAAGAACTTAACCAAATTGCTTGATAACATTTGATTGTTAAAATTACACACATGGCTAGAAATATGTATGTGTGAAAAATTTTGAGTACTTTAAACTAAATTGTTCACATTACTAAATAAAGGAGATAGAAAATACTTAGCGTGTTTACATACTAAAAATATATTCATTGTCAAAGAGGGTTATAGTGAGTGTTTTTATTCAGTCTTTTTAGCATCTTCTGTATTACAAATCTTGTTCATTCTGACGACGAGGCAATCTACGATGTTGGGATGGTTTGATCAATAGTCGAGATATTTATCAGTAATTGAGAATTTCTTGTAAACTCCTGTGTATTATGACTTATGCACCCTTGTGACCATCATGACTAGGAATGGGAACTGGTTATCTTCTTATATCTATATCATTAATTGCATTGCTGGATGTTGTCTGATTAGGTGGTTTGTTAATTCTGTAACCTGGTTGTTATGTGGTCCATATTTCACGAAAATATGTGTTGCCAACATACCTGAGACATACCTGGGTCTTGAGCACCTGTTATGAGGATTCTATGTAGATGTTGCTGTGTACGTGCACTGGTGATAGGGGCGAGCCCTTGACTAAGCTTTCATTTTGTTGGTAGTATTTTTCTTCGTATTAGAAGTTATGTCGATGTAGAAAATTGTGAACTCCATTATTGTGGAGATTTCTGTTATTTTCAAGCTGTTTCAAGAAAGTGTTTGTATTGTTTCATTTGTTGGTACATTAGTAAACAAACTGGATAAGTTTAAATGGAACATTGTTCCTGTGAGGTTATCATAATTGCTTTAACCATCTC